AGGCTTTAGAAAATTCCACCCTTACCTTTTCACAATTAGAAAGGTTATAAATAATGTATTTGGCTGAAAAGGAAGCTCAGCCTGTGGCAGATGGTATCATGCTAGAGGACTGGGGTTTCTGCGAAGATGGCGTTCTTTCAGATCGGAACTTCAGCAGACTCGCTGAAAGAACTGAAGCTTCTCATAGGGAGTAGACATGTGCTTTATGGATCTTAGAAAAGCTTACAACTTGGCTCCTAGGATAAGAATATTGTGTCACACTAGGGTTGTGAGACCCTCAGCCAGTTCCTGCCAACTTTCACATTGTAGTTCCCAACACTGGAAGCTGGGGTTTATTGGTTGGTGTACTGGGTACTGGGTAAACATTTGAACTTGGGACTAATGCTGCCTGAGTTTCATTGGGTGGGTTATTTTATCACCAGAAATTGGTATTTTTATACAGACTGACCCCTGAATTGGAAACTTGACATACAAGTGGTATCTTTTCCAGAGTGCTTTGCACAGCTCATAGAAATACACACACACACACACACACACAGAGAGAGAGAGAGAGAGAGAGAGAGAGAGAGAGAGCACGCTGGCAAGCAGTGGAATAACATAACCACATTGCATTACAACTTCCGAGACATCTGTGTGGATGTATTTTGAAAAACCTGGGAAGAAATCTCTTGCAAATTAATGAACAAAGGTTCTTGATAGTACGGTGATGTTTTGTTGTTGTTGTTTTGTGACAACCAGATGCAGTGAATTTTAAAGGTTGTGTGTGACAATTAAGCCTCCATTTCCTTTGACCTTTAAGGGAAAAAGGAAGGAGGAACTCCTGGTGGCCTGCAGTAATGATTTATTTCAGTGTTGGATACTAGTTGTGCTCAACTCTGTGATGACCAGGCCATATTGAGATAAGACCTATGACTCCTGATCTAGTAAAGAATAAACAATATGGCATGTGCCATGGTGGCACTATGTGCAGGATGTTTGAGAGGTTAGAAAGGGCCTTGAAGAAGTAGAGGTACTAGAGAGATATCTGAAGGATGGGTGGGCAGCTGCTAGCCAGAGACGGGAGAGGACATAAGTCTAGTGTCCAAAGCAGGAGTGGATGTGCCTTCCTCCTACCAGCTGCCAAGTTCAGACTAACTCCAGAAAATACATCAAGCTGCATATTGGTACAAATTTAAATATTTTAATATTTTTCTTTGTGGTTTCTTGACCATATTAGTTACTTAACAGTTTATTTAGTACATTTTTCCAATCTTCATAAAAATTTATTTGACCTAAAATACATTATTTTGAACATTTTATCTAGTACTCTTCTGTTATTTAAAGCATAGTTGAATGATCTATGCGATTGTATAATGAAAGCCCAATGAGGAGGAAGAGGCAGAAGGGAGTCATAGCAATTAACATCTCGTAAATTCATGCTTGATGTGTCCCAGGCTCTGTGCTAATTGCACCACATCCGTTATTTTTTTCATTGTCCGATGGTAGAAAGTATATCTCTACAGGTCACTTGTTCCTAGTAACTTGCCCCATGCTTGGCACTTAGTAGGAATTCAATAAATGTATGATGAATGGATGAAAAACAATGCCTGAATGAATGGATTTTCAAAACAACCCCACAAGGTGAATGCTACTATCATTCCCATTTAGCATGGAAAATTATCAATTAATTGGCTCCAGGTCACACACATCTTGCATTTGAGTGCAGATGTATGTCTGCTCTGTTTCCTTAGATGAACATGCAGTATGTACGTAATGCACGCCAGGCATTGGGGTATATAATAGGGAGCCCCACTCCTGCATGAACAATCTTTTGAAATCAACATCTCCTTTGGATTGGTGTTAAGAATCTCAAATGTTTCTCTTTTAAAACATGGAACCTGGTCTACTTTGTGGACATTCCATCACTTTAAAAAATACCATTAATCTTGACTCTTTTCTATTTGTTACCAAAACAACAGGTGTTTCTGATTTTCCAGATATGAAATTGTAATATTGAACATGAATTTTTGAATTCTATTTGCACCACAAGATTCTGCAGTTTCCCTTTCCTACAGCTGAAAAACACCAGCCATATCTAAGCTGACGATAGGGATCTTGTGTGTGCTGATTCTAGGGCTTGAACTCATGGCTCCACGCTCTCACACTTTTGCTCACAGTTGGCACTCTATTTAAGCCACATCTCCAGTCCACAATAGGGATCTTATCACAAGGAATAACAAAGTGGCTGTTTGAGCAATTTAATTGTACAGATTACTGTATATTGTTCCAATAAAAATATAAGTGACCTAGGTTATCTGAAGCATAGAATATTTCCCAGAAGGAAAGTGATTCCAAAAGTTGTTTTGGTATGGGTTATAATCCTTTTGATTGATACCTTGATTGGGCTAATATTTACATTATCAGAATTTTCTAAGCACATACCACTTGACAGAGTAGAAAGCATCCAGAAAAATTCACTTCAGAGTACAGCTTGCTGATTTAGGGTTACACAAGGGCAGGGAGAAGAGTTGACAATGATGCACATATGGATGTCTTTCTACATATGGATGATTAACTACACAGCACTGTTACATATGGGCTGTGCTTGATAAAAATATTTCCGCATTTCCCCCCATACTCTGTGGATTCTTCCTTTCCTCCCCCCGCCCCCATGTTCCCCCTGTTGGTATGCAGAGTTCCTTGAAAGTGAAGTTATTGGTTGGTTATCTTATCTGTCTTGCTAATAGGTGGTAAACTTGTTACAGGAAGAGGCTGGGTCTTACCTATCTTCTTATCCAGGCACATATTGGGTATAGAATCAAAGAGAAAATGTCATATCTACAAGCATTTGGGTGTTTGTTACAAATCTCAGCAGAATTGAGGTATTCCATATATTTGTAAAAAAGCAAGAAATAAACTATATGTTTAAACTTACATTGTCTGTTATATTAACATGTAAGAAATTGTCAGAGTATCTTCATAAAGAGCAATCATAAATTTTTTAAAATTAGGACAAAATGGAAGAACGTCAACTATCATCCATTATCCGTCAGTAAATCTCAGTAGTTTTATTAGTGTCTCACTTTATTGATCCATTATTACAAAAGACTAAATGAGATTGAAGCTGACGGATTGCTCACTGGATCAGGTAATCTTCTGGCTCTAGTTCTGGCAACCTTGCTAAGTGTCTTTTTGCTCTAAGGACTGTGGGGAGGCTCTTAGTGAAATTGCAAGCTATTGGATTAATGACAGAGCATCTTGAGCACATTAAGAATGTCTTTTTTAGAGAAATAATATGTGAAAATGACTATGAAGTAGAAAGTGTCAAAAAAAAAAAAAGATATCCCAGGGCCTCTCCGCAGAGAATGGCATGTCTTTTATATAAATAATGCAATTCTAGTTTACCCATCTCTCCCAAGTTCTTGAGCCATTCCCTAAATTTACTCATTGAAGAAATGTATGCATGCTACAAAATTGACACTGATAATGGATGATGGGAGGAGAGCCATAGCCCAGAGAGTTTTACATTAGCCATAACTTAAAGAAGATAATGATATAAAAATCCTTTTGTCCCCAAACTGGCTTTTCTGGTTATTCTCTGGTGCTGAAACAAAGTTGCCCTGTGAAATGTTTCCCCATAGGACAACAGTAAGTTCTCAGGTTTCTACTCATAGTGAGGATGGCTTGGTCTGTTGTTTCATTCCTACACCCAATTGGAATTAATTTCACTGCTACTAGGGGCTATCAAGTTTGAATCATTTATTTGCTAAATATGAGGTGTTTTTTTTTAGCTTTCTAGTAATACATTAAAATCATTATTTTTCTTCATTTTAATAAGTTAAATGATTAATTGTTTTCCTAGTTTGTGTTAAAAGCGAGATAAAGAGCCAATTACCAATGGCTCACACCTGTAATCCTACTTACTTGGCAGAGACTGAGAATAGGAGGATTGAGATTTGAGGCCAGCCTGGGTAGAACAGTTGGCATGACCTCTTCTCAACTGAGAGCTGGATCCAGTGAGGTACACCTGTTATCCTAGCTAAGACAGGAAGCTTAACATAAGTAGATCATAATACACTTGAGCAGGACATGAGACCCTATTGCAAACTAATAAAATAGGCCTACAGGTGTGGTTTAGTGTTAAGACCCCCTGTCTAGCAAGCATGGGACCCTCTGTTCAAACCCCAGGACTTCCACAAAATTTCTATTCAAAAAGATAAAAGTGACGACATAGACCATTTTCTTATTTTTGGGATCTTGAGAAATTTAGTAAGTACCCAAAAATATGTATATGTATATGTATGTATATTTATTTATATACATATTTAAATATTATGGTCAGTTGAAATTCAGAATTCAATCTTTATTATAGATAAAGCTATCAATAAGTTTGTAGGATGTTTTTCCCCTTAACAGAGAGGATCTCTGTGAGCTGTTTTCTTCTCAAGTATGATCATTTACCCTTGGAAAAAGGTTAATATATCTCCAATTGAAAAATCCAGATAATATACATGAAAGTGTAAGAGATGTTTCTTAAATGTGAATGTACATGTGAATCCCTGGGAATCTTGGTAAAATATAGTTGCTGATTGCCCAGGTTTGAGATTGAGCTTCAGACTGTGCATTTCTAACAGGTTTCTAAGGGGTTGCTCATATTGCTTTTCTCTGAACCCTATTTTGATAGCAAAGATGTAGCTGTAGACACTAAAAAGCAAAGTGTCATGTGTTGTCTTCATGTATCATTGGGACCAGTGAGAGCTGCCAGTTTAGGTGTAGATAGCCTTGATGGAGATTGACCCATTAGTGCCAAAGCAAACCTTTCACCTGGTCCCCATGGGCTGTTGCTTGTTATTTGAATAAGCATTTCATTATTTCTTTAAATTTTTAGGCTAAAGTGTAAAACCAAAATGTATCAGTTGATTTAAAAACAACAACAACAAGACAGTTTTCACAATTGCAATCTTTTCTGTGTTCTGTCTCTTGCGGCTCTGTAATACAAATGTTCTCCCCTCCCCATGCAGAGTATGATTTCTTCCATTGTGAACAGCACTTACTATGCAAATGTCTCAGCAGCAAAATGTCAAGAATTTGGAAGGTGGTACAAACATTTCAAGAAGACAAAAGATATGATGGGTAAGCAAAAAACATGTAGTTTGCAGTAGCTCCATACCATTCAGTGTCATTTGGGGGTTTATCAAAGTCACATCTAAAGCCAGGTCTTTTGATTGCCCAATTAGAGATCAATTTAGAATGCTTCTTTGGGGGTGGGGAATGGGGATGAGTATAATGAGATAATTAAATTCAATAAATGTTTGTGTTTAAATCAGCCAAACTGACTTGGTTGTCAGACATGCAGGAAATCGAGGCGTGAGGAGGGGAGCTGTCATTTTTTTTAACATCTCTGTGAAGACCTAACCAGGCCTTGAATAACTAATATTAGCTGTGATTTCTCTCTGAGATAAATCATGCTTTGGGGATTTTTTTTTGCTCTTGTGTGGGAGAATGAGACAGGACCCAGTTTTAGGGGAATTAAGCTGTATTAAACTCTTAACTGGAACAGTGGGGATCAATGATTTTTATATAGCTTTTGCTGGTAAGTAGGCATTTGGGTAATTACATCTTTGCTACCTGCACCAAAACTATCATTACATCATTTGTAAACTTTTAAATCCACTGAAGTATCCTGTCTTAACATGCAACTTTATAGGTCAACATTTGTTACACAGGAAATCTGACCAAATTATCTGTAATGTAAAATGACAGGTAAAGGTTGAGTATTGCCTAGGTGGATTATTGCTTTTTCTCCATTTTGAGTTTGTTAGTGTTCTAACAGTATGATTAAGGTTAATGTTTTAATTTCTATTAATATCTTCTTTCACATACTTGTACCTTCCAGATCATACATTTTAAAATAAAAGAGGAATAGGATATTTAATATGCATAGCATTATGCCCTGTTTTAAATCTATTTCTCTTTATCTTCATTACATTCATTTAATAGTAACAACAATAATCACTTTTCCTAAAGAGTTTAAGAGACAAGAGACCCAAATTTTGAACATGTTTTAGTTTTTAATATTGAAGAAAATCCATCCATCTACCCAAACAGATTCTTTGCCTTTTATAGCTTAGGGCTATAATGAAGACAATGCATCATTTTTGGAATAATTGCTTGAATTACTATTCTTTGTGAATGGCTCACTTGAGCTAGTCTCATTGGTAGAAATTGAAGGTTTCTTCCCCAATTCTTAGTTATATTTTGCATATATTAGTGACTGTAGCAATATGATAAGTTCCTCTAAATATAAAGCCTGCATATTTAATGAAAAGAGAAACGATGATCAAAATAGAGGCTATATATGGGAAGTAGAGTGTAAATTTGGAAAGCTTTACCTATTTACATTGAGCTCCACGCTCAGCCTTTCTAGTCAAGAGCAACAAATCAGTCTCTTCTTTGTGGCAGCAAAGCATATGACACAGACTAGCTGACTCTCAGCCAGTCCACATGACAGTTGTAGTCAAGGGATGAGCATCCACCCTGGAGGGTTGAACATAAATTGCCAAACCATGCTCCGTACCCGACACATTTGCTCAGTGGTTAGTGCTCTACCAACCAAACCACGCCTCCAACCCCGGTGATATTCTTATATATTCTGAATTTCCTACTCTGGGTATCTGTTTTTCTCTACTCCTTTAACTTTCCCCCATGTAATGAAAGAAAAAAAAAAAGAAATCATGTTCATCAAAGCAACAAACTCTTTAAAGTGAAAACAACACAACAACAACAAAAATCATGACAGTACCACAGTGGTACCTACACACGAAACCCTGTGTTCCTTCTTCCAAGTTTGTCTTTTAACATTTGGTGATCGCAAAAGCTACTTGAAGAAAAACATTTGATTCATGCCAACATTGGGAATGGTGATTTTACATGCTATAAATCATTCTGAGTAATATCGCTTCATTCTGAGAAATATTTGCATGTAGACTTACCATCTATGATGATTAGATTTAAATGGAATAAGCCATATATAAGATGGCCAGCAAAGTATGAAACCTAAGAGTAAGTTGTTACATTACTATTGTTATTATTGTGTTCATTTTATTATTTATGATGTTAATTTCTTTATAATTACTGCTGTTCAAAAGTTTACTATGACGTCATTTTTTCTTCTACACCTTTTGCCTAGGTTAATTATCTATCTATATTTATTTATTTATCAATCACGTGGAAATATTTGTAAATTTCTTTACTTGCCTGTTACCTTAAGCTTAATTTCATAGCTCACCCCAGTTTTTCCTCGTTGCCATTTAAGCAAATGATTTTCTTGTTGAATCCATTTTAAAATAAACATAATTGCTCATATGTCTTTCTGGTATGAGTGCGAATCAGTAACAATTTGGTCCTAAAAACCTAGTGACAAAGAATTTGGATATAGCAGATTTTATGCTGAAATCTAAATCACCCTTCAGAAAATGAGATCCAGAGTATTGTCCCATATTTTCAAATGCAGGAAACTTCAGTATGAGCTAATGAGCTCTGTCACGAAATGGCCTTAGTTTCGTTCCCTGTTCAGTGTGCCCTCTACCTATGTCTTCTTTTTAATGGGGAAACGATCAGATCCCTGTCACTTCCATTGTGGTCTGAACATGACTTTACTTTTTGTCCACTGTAGTCGAGATGGATAGTCTTTCCGAGCTATCCCAGCAAGGTGCCAACCATGTCAATTTTGGCCAGCAGCCAGTCCCAGGGAACACAGCCGAGCAGCCTCCATCCCCTGCGCAGCTCTCTCATGGTAGCCAGCCCTCTGTCCGGACCCCTCTTCCGAACCTGCATCCTGGGCTTGTGTCAACACCTATCAGTCCTCAACTGGTCAACCAGCAGCTCGTGATGGCCCAACTGCTGAACCAGCAGTATGCAGTGAACAGACTTTTAGCCCAGCAGTCCTTAAACCAACAATACTTGAACCACCCTCCCCCTGTCAGTAGGTCTATGAATAAGCCTTTGGAGCAACAGGTTTCAACAAACACAGAGGTGTCTTCGGAAATCTACCAGTGGGTACGTGATGAACTGAAACGAGCAGGAATCTCCCAGGCAGTATTTGCACGTGTGGCTTTTAACAGAACTCAGGTCAGTTTTGTTTTTCTATTTTCCTGTTTGTTCTCTCTCCCCTTTTTATTTCTCTTTCTTTAAACCCATCTATGCTAATGTTTGTTCTTTTACTCTGTACAAATATATAACAATATGTTTCTTGTTAAGTGGTCATATTGCTTGTTCCTGGTGGGGCCTAGGGAAAGCTTGGTTCACATTGATCCGATCACAGGCTTTAAAAGAATAGAGGAAATCCACAAGTATTTCTGGCTGGCATTACCTATTCTCTTACACTAGACTTAGAAATTATTAGTAATAGAAGGTTAAGACAGGGTCTCAGGGAGGATTCTGGGCTTCTGGCCTAGTATTTCTATTAAAACTCGTATCAGGCCAGGCGCTGGTGGCTCATGCCTGTAATCCTAGCTACTTAGGAGGCTGAGATCTGAGAATCTCAGTTCAAAGCAAGCCTGGGCAGGAACATCCATGAGACTCTTATCTCCAATTAACCACCAGAAAACCAGAAGTGGTGCTGTGGCTGAAGATGTAGAGCTTACTTTGAGCTGAAGAACTCAGGGATAGAGCCTAGGCCCAGAGTTGCAGCCCCAGAACAGACAAAAACAAAACAACAACCAAAAAAACTCTCATATCAAACTTAACTATATACATATTTTTTTGTTGAAGTTCTTCTACAACATTTTATTTTGACACCTTGAATCTCAATAACAATTTCTGGCATTTGATTTTGTATAGCCATTTTGAAGAAGAGATAACATGGTATATTAACATAATAAGCTTTGTCTTCTCTTTCATGCTATTAATATTCTTTCAGATCTCATTCTTTAGACCATAAAGTCATAAGGGTTTAAAAGCCAAAAACCTCTGTCACAATGTAGAGGGGTAGGGAGCTGTAACAATGTTTATGGGTGTGATAGTATTTCACCTTATGGAAGTACCTACGAAACAAGTCATAAGGTAGGTTAAAGTGGCTTGTAGACCTTAGTTTGCAAACACATTTTTAGACTTTCATTGAGATCTGCACCTTTATCTCCTGGGCAAATTTCTCTGAAGTTTCTATCACAATGGTGACCCATCTAGAGGTAACCCATGATACAGAGATACTAAGAACAAATTGATCCTATCAATTTTTAGTGTTTCTCATCTATCTTTATCTTATGACTTGATCAATTATCCATATTGACCTTGTGAGTAAAATAAGATTTTTTTTTGGTTTGGAAACTACTATGATATATGTGGTATTTATTTTTAGCTAAGGTATACTTCAAAAATCAGAAGAACACATTTAACTTTATGAGACCTAATTCTTTTCAACATTTTTTTTTGTTTTACCATGGCTCTTTCTTCTATTTATTTATTTGGTTTCTTCTTTTTTTGGCCTGACTCATATTTTCCTCTCATTTAAGTTATTTTTGTTTATTACATGATTATAAGAATAAAATCCTGGTACAAATATAATCTAGTATTAATTCATTGTTGGCAGAGTTTCCATACCTAGGAGAATCCCAGCTGTGACTTATTTTTGGTTGCCTTAACTAGACTGGGAGTTAGGAGACCTGACAAAGCCTTTAATTCAGTGTTTGTTTTCAGTTTCTTCATCTAAGGTTTTTATACATACATGATTTGTCTGTTTCTAAAAGGCAGCCACACGAAGTTCTGTCTTGTATTAAAATTGTATAGTTTTTAATAAGTTCAATGCTCTTAAAGCTTAAATATTGTGTTCATTTTTTACTAGTAAATTTAACATGACACTTTAATTCACTTGGAGGATAACTAATAAAAAATTGAATGAATGAATCAAAGGTCAACCTTCTGAACATTCCTATTTCTGGTACCATTTTTAATTTTATACATATAATAAATACTAGAAATTCTTAGTACTGGGCAAAAAAAGAGGACTTTACATAGAAATCCAGTTATGTGTTGGTTTCAGTTAAAAGCCCACCGACAAAGAAACATTGACATAGAGACAGGTTATAGACATAGAGATTTAGTGACTGAAAAATGGAGCAAAGAGTTATAATTTATAGCAGTCAGGGGAGTACACAGCATACAGTGAAGAATGTGGAGAAAGAGTAGATTCACCATGAATCAGTTTTTCTCTCCCAGATTATGGCATTACAGGTACAGCTGCAAAGGGTGTACTATTTGTTGGGTTTTTTTTTTCAGTCTTCAATCTTTACATTGAAAAGATTGCATGAATATCTATAGGATTAATTACCTGAAGATAGGTAGAATTTTCTCTGAAGACAAAATTAAAAGAGAAACAGTGATTTTATTTTTCTGAGGGTAAAAAGAGAATGAAAACTTGATATAGCTTCATACAAATACAACTTTTTAACTAGCCAGTTTTGGGGATAAAATGTGGTCAAGAATTATTTGCTGATAAAGGGGTTTGGTTTCAAATCTTTATGTTGATAATTGGCACTCCTCAGTAGAACTAGATGTCAGGCCATATGTGAAGCTGTTTATGTATGGAGGGTGTTCACTGATTGAGAACTACCTTTTGTACATGCAAGCATGTATGTGTTTTCAGTGGTCATACTTAAAAGTCACACCCATGCGCCTACACACAGCTGCATTTATTTTAATGATTATACATTCATATGAATGCATGTAGTGTGTTTATTTCAAAGTGTATGCATTTCAATAAAAGCAGGTGCAGAGTGAGAGTAGGGTGTGAGCGTGGAGTACGAAAATACACATGCTAATGCATATGTATAGACAGGGAGCTCTGCAGAGCCAAATCGCACATCACACGTTGGGATGCACTTATTACAACGTGCAATTCAACTCAAGGTTTACAAAAATGACTGTTGAATGTGGATGTGAAATGCAAAGTTACATGATATGGATGGAGAAAGGCAATGTGCCCTCTCAACAGTGAGTTTTGAAACATTAATATAATGATGGCATAGTTACAAATTGAGAATTCTTTTAGTCATTGACAGCTCTGAGTAAGTTTTAAGATCCTGGATTTCATGTTTCATCTCTCTATAGAGAATTTTCTCATTATCTTAGTAGGGTTCCCCAAGTTAAACATAATGCTCTTAAGACTTTTTACCTACGACTTAAAAAAAAGTCTACCGTCCGTGAAAATTTATGATGAAATTTACGTAATTACTTGTTTTAAGGAATTTTTCCTCTTCCAAATTGATGGCATATGTTATTGCTTTAATTGCTATTGAAGACCCAGCTTTTAGAATATGTCATTCATTCTGTTATGTCTACTTGATACCCTTTTAATGGAAACCTATGGCTGAAAGTCATTTCCAAGGCCTTTAGATTTATACTTTCCAATTCACCTCTCTCTAATACTGCTATTTAAAGGTTGTGATACAAGAAAATATAATCTTTAATGCCCCTTTAAAAAAAATTACAACCCAGAGTTTAAATGCTAAACCCACTGTGTTTTTTCTCCTTTTCCCTCTACTTCTTCCTGCCCCCATCTTGGGCACACTTTATTTTCCAGTAAAATGAAGAATGAAGATGGATTATTCAAAACTGATAACAGTAATGGACCATCATGTAATGTTTTATTGAATTTGAGTTCTGTAAATTATGTGGTGGAGAGAAATTTGCCTTCTTAAGTATAACAGAAATTGCTACTGTGTTCCTATAATTCTTCACAGTGTAATTTAAGGAAAGTCTACTATCCATGACACTATTGAATAAAAGGTAAAAAGGTGCTATTATCCCAACATGACAGCTCTCGATTAGCTTACCAAAGGACAGAGATAAAGGTCTACTTATAACTTACTTGGCAAGTGTCCAAAGACTAGGTGGAATTTGAAAATAGTCGTTTACTTGTACAATATGACTAAAAATTCACTAAACAGCAGAGGCAGATAGCCTTGACAAACATTTTAAAGAAGGATATACCCTTTTGAGGAGTGAGATTTCATCAAATTGTATTTTCTTTCTGAGGGCTTTCAAGTTCCATGAAGCTGATAAAATCTATCTGAATCAGTGATTACTTTCAAAGAGGAGACAAATGGGAGGCCAGACAGGCCTTTGTTCAGATTGGCAGTCTCCTTCACTTATCTTCTGTTTTAAAAAATTCATAATTAGCTTTTGGAGGTACTGATAATATTTATTGAAGGTTTTTCCCCCCTTTTACAATTACTAATGAATTTTACTTGTAATAACTTGTAAACTATTGTTGGAATGTAAAAAATATGGTTTGGAATTCATCAGTAAATTCATTAATTGAAAAAAATAGGATCTCACTTAACTACTGTGTAATGACAATGCAGAGTAATTTTATGTTTCCATATATACAGCACACATCTAATTATTTGTAAGTTGTAAAGTTCCAATGAAAGGCAGCTTCTCATTTCCAGTAAAATTAAAATTCATGACGTGCTGGTAACCTCCTATATAACATACAAGTTCTCAGGTTCTTTTTTAGAAAGGAGAATGACTAGTGATTTTGTTTAATTTAGTTCTGCAAATTTATTGAGTGTATGAGAGTAAAGCTAGGTTTTCATCCCACTATCTCACCATATTCTAAATAAAATATATGGTGGCTTAAACATAGTATTTCTACTATGAAGACTCATTTTTGGTAAAAGAGCTTTGTGACTGTCCATCATGAGTAATTCATACTAATGAACTTGATGTAACCTAGCAAGTCTGTATCTTTTCAACTGTGGAAAAATAAGAAAAGGTAGTGTGGGGGAGGTGAGAGAGGACAACATACATCTTGGATCCATAAGTGCATCTGCTCAGATAACTGTGATATGAATAGGACCAGCACATGCAATTCTGTGTCTGGGTTGATAATAGTCATTTTTGCATCTAGACTTGTTCTTGTGACTTTCCTCCCCCGCTCCCCCCCCTCAATTAACACTAATTGAAAACATTTTCTAACAATATTTTCAAACATTTCCACCAGGGGGCACTCCCCTCATTGAAAGCTCTAGGCCAAAAGAAAGGTTCTAAAGCATAGGAGATTGTCTACACTGGCTGCTTTAGTTCTCAGAATGTTCCAGGGTTTGAAACATTGCTTCAGACCATCAACATATTCCAGGCAGAAGAACTGCACCTGTTCCAGTAGGAGAATTACTTTAAGTGGAAATGAAATGCCTTGCCTCTGCAACACTTGTATGCTTAAATGGGAAGGCATGCCAATGTGCAAATATGGGCAGAAGGTAGAGCTCTTCCTTAATTTTCCCAAGTGATGTGCTATCTTCTATCTAAGCCATACCAGGATGACTTAGTCTTACATGAACAAGACATTTAATATCTTTCTGCATGTGCTTGATTTTTCTTCCTATATTTCTTTGTTGCTTCAGGAAACAGATTTGGTAGAAATAAATGATAATATTACTTGCCATTTACTATTTTAAAATGTCTAATTTCAATTTCCAAAACATAAGAACACTGAATACTTACAGGATACCTTTTTCCCTAGTCTGTTTTTTAAAAAATTACTGAACTATTAGTGCAAATAATAATGTGTCACATAATTAATTGGTGTAGTAAGTATTCTTCAAACACTTAGGTAAGATAGGTACTTTGCTAGGAAAACAAAAGTGAATACTAAACTCAAGGAATAGATAACATTCTATGTTTATATAGAGGTGGAGTATACAATATTTCTATATACCAATCTCCTTTGGCCATGCATTGTTTCTTTGTTTTGAGTCAAGGTCTTGGCTTATGCTGCCCTCAAATTTATGATCCTTCCAGTCTCTTCATCTGAGTGCTGGGATTATAGATATGCATCAACATGCTGGTATTATAAGCACATTTTTAAATATATAACATTTGCTGAAGAGTAGTGGCAAGCAAGGGCTATTTTATTACATCTATCGCTCAGAATTTATTATTTTTATTTTTGGTGGACTCTGTGTTTTGGTTTCAGATTGACACATCAGAAGCACATCCAATCTTATTAGTGGGCCTTATGCAAATTAAATAGCTTGCTTATTGACTGACTGAATTTTAGTTAAGTTGACTCAGTGTTTTATTCTTGAGCAGACACCATTGAAACATTTAGTTGTTAGCATTGTGAATGGAAGAAGATAATGTCTTTCACATTCAGCCCCTTTTTTTGTGGTAAAACTGAAGGTTTAGGTCCCAGTTCTCGGCTTTGATTATATTAGACAAGTAAGAGATTTCTTTACAATTGACTTAAACCTCCAGAACCTGTTTGAGATGTTTTATTTTTTAATATCAGCTTATAAGTCATTTTAAGACTTGACAGTGCTTTTGTAATACCTGCACCCAGCTGTTATATTTAGGCAATATGGCACATTATCTTGAGAAATGGTGAACAAAACCTAGTTTTCACTTCTAGGAAACCACAAATATTAAAACCTTGGGACTCCATTATTTTGACAATTCCCTCATTACAGGTACCTTTTAACCATTTCTGTAGGGTTTTGGAGTGTAGATTTGCAGATGATATAGGAATGGAATTTTATTCTGAGCTGTATTGTGAAAATCTAGCAATCTTAAATGAAGAAAGTAGACATATTCTGATGTTCTAAGCTTTATTCTATACTCCAGATTGATGAGTACTGCTCAGTCATTAGAACATTGTCAGAAAAAAAAATCACTACTTCTGTTTCATATTATCCCTGAATCATACTCACTCATTAAAAAAAAAAGCAGTTATTCCAAAAGTTAAAAAAAATTAAGGAAGTGGCTCTGTGGCTCAAAGAGGTAATTTAGCGAAAGAGCTCAGGGACAGTACCCAGGCCCTGAGTTCAAGCCCACTGACTGACCAAAAAAGAAGAAAACTTGAAGATGAATGCTGTATTATTTGAGGATGAAAGCCACCTTAAAGGAAGTTTCCTATTGTCTGTGAATTTTCCCATTATTAGTAATGATTTTTATTTCCCCAAGAAATTTAATAATTACACAATTTTACAATATTCTTTACTTTGGCATATTGTGGTGGATTTTTGCAGTATGGAAGATTGGTTATGTATTTCACATTTTATCTGTGGGTTCTGAAGTTCAAAACTTCAACTTATAACCCATAGGTACATTGGAGTAAGATCTTATTTAGAATCATTTGGGATGTCTGTGTTTCCCTTTAATGGCAAATTGAAATGGCCACCTGGTGCCATTTACTTGGATAATTTGAAGATTAAGAAACTACTTAAAATTGCCTGTGAATACACAGTGTAAGTACTACATGATGCTTTAGTGATTTTTCCCCCCAGATATATTGCAGTTCATTTCCTGGTATTTTCTTGAAAAAAAAATTACTTACAACTCTAGAAAAATGGCTTTGTGTCTTTCCATATTGAACTCTTGGCATTCCCTTGCCTTTGTCTAGGCAACTTGAGAACTATACTGTTCAATGCTGTTGTATTACGAGGATTTCATTTGTGCTTAACTTCCCTCTATCTTCTCTCTGTGAAAGATTTCATGGCAAGTTAAGCTACTCAAAAGAAGGAGACCAATTAGGCAGTTTCGGTTTATGTTATATGTAAAGCAGATGTTTAATAAAATTAAGAACACAATTGAAGCTCTCTTCTCCATTGCTTCAATTGTAACTAATATATTCCTACGAAGAATTACTGCCTCAGAGTCTTCATTTCCTTAACAGAGTGGAAAAGGGGCGGGGGCGGGGGCCAGGGTTGTGGGGGGAGGTTGGTGAGGAGAGAGGGGGGATCCTTAGGGGCTGGCTGGAGCAAACTCACACTGTCCCTTTCATTCTCTTCAGGGCTTGCTTTCAGAAATCCTCCGGAAGGAAGAGGACCCCAAGACTGCATCCCAGTCTTTGCTGGTAAACCTTCGGGCTATGCAGAATTTCTTGCAGTTACCTGAAGCAGAAAGAGACCGAATATACCAGGATGAAAGGGAGAGGAGCTTGAATGCTGCATCGGCCATGGGTCCAGCCCCTCTGATAAGCACACCACCCAGCCGCCCTCCCCAGGTGCAGTCTCTTCTTCCTTGCTAGTCTCTTTATCTTTCTTTTTAAAACAATGTTTAAGGAAGAATCTCAGCAAGAAATATGATAGATACCAATTTTAAAGAATTCGCATAGTTGCTTGAGGAGAATTTGGTCCCAGATCACAAATTCTGGTATAAAAACAATAAGCTACTAATTAGGTAGGGGAAAGAAAATAGCTTTGTGTTAATCTATTTGGATTCTTGGGGGGGGGTGCAGAGAAGAGTATAAGGAGTCTGTAAGTGGATATTGCCTCTACCTCTGTTACTAAATAAGTATTTTAAACTCAAAAGAATAAAAAAGAATAAGGTCAATTTTATCCTTACCAGTTTTAGAGCTGCCATTTGAATAGTAAATAAATAAAAATAAGTAATTCCATTTGTATTTATGCTTTCCAATACGAACTGCAGCTGGTACCAATTACACATCATCTCGTTTGTAATCTTTCATAATTAAGTTTAATACAATCCTTGAAGGCAGCTTTAAATGGGATTGATAAGGAATTCCATCCATATTCCCAGAAAATGGGCACATTTTCTATTTCTCCAACCTCTTTTTCACATTTTGAGGAAGGAAAACAAGTCACCTTTCAGGTAACATCTGTATATGCATCTTGATAGTTGTTTTTTTTTTTTGTATTAATGTTTTTATTTCCACATAGAGCTCCCCAATGACCCAGCAATCCCACTTTTGGGCATTGACTCAAATGATCACAAACAAGGCCATACTAAATACCAGCACAACTATGTTTATCGCAATATTATTCACCATAGCTAAGCTATAGAACCAACCCAGATGGCCCTCAGTAGATGAATGGATCAATGGTTATTTTTTAAGTTGCGGTTTAAAAAGCAGCCTTATAATTATTATGACAATTCAAGAAGTTAAGCTACAGTAAAAACTAGCAGATCAAAGTTTTAAAGTCAGTTAGGTCCAACTTCACAAGCAACTGTGGCTTTGTATGTTTTTTTTTTGTTTGTTTGTATGTTTAATTTGTGACATGCACAAGTCTTAAAAAATAATAGTCAACCAAAACTATATAAAAACTGAATATGGAACACAGATTCCAAGTATTCCTATAACATAATGTTAGTGAAATATATATATGTTGATGTTGATTTCTTTGCATCAATGCTAACAATCATATATTTCTAAATATAATAATTTTACAAAGACTATTCAGCAGTAAAAAAAAAAAAAGAAAAAGAAAGAATTAAAAAAATCTAAAAAAGTATTACAGATAGTCCACGACAGAAGAACGGACATACTATCTAGTCACTTGCTGTTCATAAAGTCACTGTTGTTCATAAAGTTCTGAAATACTTGCTGCTTAGGAATGTCACCAAAGTACATTTTCTCTCTGTTTAGTGAAAATCAGCCTGGACTTGATGTGCACAGGGGCAGGCTATAAAGAAGCCATGCTTCTCTTCTAAGAAGAATAACAGCTGTGTGTCTCTTGTGTACCTACATACTTCCACTGAGCTTGATCTCTAAACAAACCACTTCCTAAGATAAAGAATGAGCAACTGTGTATATACACATATGACTTTTATAAGGGTAATTAAATAAAAAATACTTAGATGATTTTTTTTTCATCAGTGCTAACAGTTACCACACATACCATCATTAGTTAACCTTGTTCCTATACTCTTTACCAAAAGCTCTGGGCAGACTTATTTTGCTTATCACTTGATTTGCAATAAGAGAATAGCTTGCTTAAGACCAATGTGAATTTCAACAGTGAACATCTTTTTTAATTTTTATTTATTTATTTATTTTGTCTGTCATGGGGCCTGAACTCTGGGCCTGAGCGCTGTCCCTCAAGTCTTCAGCTCAAGGCTAACGCTCTACCATTTGAGCCACAGCACCACTTCCAGCTTTGGTGCTGAGGAATCAAACCCAGGGCCTCATGCATGCAAGGCAAGCGCTCTACCACTGAGCCATCTTCCCAGTCCCTCTTTGTTTTTTAATTTTTTTTTTTTTTTTTTGTCGGTCGTGGGGCTTGAACTCTGGGCCTGGGCACTGTCCCTCAGCTCTTCAGCTCAAGGCGAGCGCTCTACCACTTGAGCTACAGCGCCGCTTCTGGTTTTCTGGTGGTTTATTGGAGATAGGAGTCTCACGGTTTCTCCTGCCCGGGCTGGCTTTGAACCTCGATTCTCAGATCTCAGCCTCCTGAGTAGCTAGGATTACAGGCGTGAGCCACCAGAGCCCGGCTGTTTTTAAATTTTTAATCTGCCTAAACGTTTGCTTTGTTGATTCCTTAGCGCAGCTTTTGTTTTTTAATTTTTCTGGGATTTTGAGCAACCCACTTTCCAAATGTGCTTACACTATCCTTATTCTTTGAGGCTTTTTTATTTCTAGCTAAGTGTTGCCCTTATTCTTTAGTGATATTTATTTTCATATACATTTAAGATACTCTTGTGGATTTTTTGGTATATGCAAAGACAAATATCTACCATGAGCAGTTTGGAATAGGAAAAAATATATATAGATAATACGATTTATTATGGCCTAACTATTAACTTCTTAGTCACTCTATAACTCAAGAGAGGTAGATATTTAACCTTTAGGTGGTATCCAATGATGAACATGTAAATGTAGTTCAATGAATAACTAGATTCTTAGTGAAATTCTTTCAGACAAAGTCTCTCTTATTACCAGCCATCTAACCAAGTTCCAAAATGACTAATACATGTATGTATGTCTTATTTGCCCCCACACAGTCCCTTTGCATTATTTATTATTATAAAGAAGTTCACCTCTAATGTGTTCACATTTTGTCCTTTAACAATAATTGCATGGATTAAATTTTTAGCAATTCTTGATAGATTAAAGGCATCATCATTGAGATAAGGACTTTTAGAATTGGGGAAGCATAAGCTTTTGAACAGTTGAAATAGTAGAGTTTTTGTATTGGATCCAATATATCACACAAAAAGTTTTTTCTGGGTTTATAACCAATGACTAAAATGGAGGTGCCCACAGATACACAGACTGAAGAATACTGCCCTTTTTAATTCTAGATTTTGCCAAAGTCTATTTCCTCCAAAATGAGGAGGATAGGCTTGGGGCCCAGAGTGGTTCTTGGAATTCCCAGGTACATTGAAATCTGAAAGAATGCATTCTTATCTAGTTCCTTATAGGTAGAGGCCTCATAGAAGATGATTTGACATGTCCTTGGGGGCATACCAGATCTTGCAGCTAAACTTTTGAAGCTCTTGGATTCAAAAATCATCTTCAAGAAAGGACTTCTCTGGCTAGCAGGGAGCTTTCAAGTATAGTTCCTAGTGATAACCTCACCAGCCTCCAGAAACAACAAAATTCTTGGCTGACCCAACCAAGGTTCTGTGACTCCTGTCCAGAGTGCTCTAGTAAGGGCAGCCATGCATGGGTTTCATTCTCTGCCTGGGGCAGGCAACCTCTGTCAGCCAGACCTGTTTGCCAAAAGTATATTTTCACAACTTACATGCACTAATTTAAGAAATTAGAATACCTTGCATTTCATAATAGTTCACAGTTTTCTAAGCACCTTCCCATGCATTAATTCATTGGATCCTCATACCAGCCTTTTGCTAAGAGAAAAGAGAAACCCAAGTGAAAGGTTTAATTAAAAGTTTTCAAATCCCCCAGTTAGTCTGTTACTCCTGCTTGTACCTCAAGCTACCTCCTTAGCATACAAAAATTTATTTTAGAAGGGGAAAATAAAACTTGGAGGATTTTCCTGTTTGTTAGAGGGTGGGAAGTTGTGTTTTTAGATTGGAAAGAGGAATGCATTTGAGGAAATTGTCCTGATGGAATAAATTGAATATTGAACAAATGATCCACTTGAAAAGACTTTGGATAATTGTGCTTATGAAATTGTGGTGAAAATACCCCTTCCAAACTTTGGTCATAAGAAAGTTATCTAGGAAAAACTTATTCTACCAAAGTTCCTTGGTCTTAAAGTCTCCTGACTGTGCTTTAAGAATTTATTAGAAGAGTTTTATTAATAATACTTTTCTAATCAGTTTTATATTGGTGATTTCTTACTGTGGTTTCATGTGTATGTATTCATATACATGTGACTTTGGGAGTTAAATTAATTTTTTCAGTTTTACTTTTCATGAGAGCACTTTGAAAGCATGTAATTGCCAACTTATAACTTACATGTGAGTTATATAATTCTTATTTTCTTCATTTGTTTTGACATCCCTTCCTCTAATTCTTTTATTTATTCTAAAGGAAGGCATGATACTTGATAATAAAAATTTAGAAAATATACAGAGTCTATATAACAAACAATGTGTCAGCTCTCCTACTCCTCCTTTCCTTTAGAGACTGGGTCTTACATAGCTCAGGCTAGCCTTGAACTCATGATGCTTCTGCCTCTGCCTTTGTTATTCTAGTACTTGGGATCACAGCATGTGGCACCATGCCTGGTGATAAGTAAGAATTTTTGTAAGTTAAAAGGCTCTTAAAGCAGAGCTCTACATAATTTCCATAGTGTCTTAACTAAGATTCAGAGCTAAGATAAAATTCAGCACCAATCATTTGAAGTTTAGATCTCAACTTTGAGCCGTGGACATGACTTAACATTTTATTATTATAAATAGTATTCACATAGTTACCTAGTTATTATCATAGTATTTACTGTGGGCTGTTATGAAGATTGCACAGTTATACATTACTGAAATGCTCAGCACATAATAATCAGATCATAAGTGACCAGCTTTATTGTGAAAATTATTGTTACCAAATACAAAAAGCTTTGATTCTGAGGATGTGAGAGCCCTGTGCTTGCAGGTCACTCTTTGTGCTTTAAAGAGTAGCGTGTACACCAGTCCAGACCAAAGGGGAGTTAATTTTGTGTAGTTCAAAGTATGATTTGATGCACTTAGCAATTCTTGAAGAAGCAAAATAGAGTTTTCATGGAAAATGTATGCAGTGCAGCACAAATTTAGTGAACCAAAAGGTGAGCTCTAGTGCTGTACCCTCTCCTCACATGGGAAGGTAAAAAGTAGAATCATCTAACTACTTCCCTGGCGCCTCTTTAATGATGGAGTAGTCCACCCTACCTTGATAAAAGCCCTTCCGAAGGCAACTGCGTTTATTTCACCTCTTGTGCTATTTGTGGAGAAGAGTGAAGAGTAGCTTGTTTTGCCTGGAATGAACTACTTTATGAATTTTAATGTGTGATATAACATTAAAAGCTAAAGCAGGATTAAAGAAGATTTTTTTTGTACTAAGCTAAAATAGTACTTAGTAGAGAGAGATAGACAAGATTTTTGTTTCCATTTCAGCTTTTGCTTTTTGAAAGACTATCCAAGTTAGGTCCCCTTAAGCAATAGCTTGTGTTAAGGAAAAAAAATGTGGTAAGATAGATGCATATCTGGACCAAGGAGATATAAAAAAGAACTTTTTAAAATATTTTTAAAAAATGAATAATACAGACCAATATTTCTGACTTCACATTTAAAAAAGTTTCCCCCATCACATTCAAGTTCCTTTTAAAAGTTTTATGAGATGCTTGATTTCTACTTTTATTTTGATAACGTTGGCTACTAGGAAATGATTATTTGATTTAAAAAAATCTAGAATTCTTGCTTTTCGGCTCAAGCAGTGAAAACTTTGGAAACAGAATCGTAGGGTTGAAAGAAAGGATTGTAACCTACCTCAAAGATAAGTTTAATGTTTTTACAAAAGAATGAAAATTATTTTAAAAACAGATGGAGAGTCCAAGTTTCCAAAACCTGCTTACTTACTATTGCTATGTGGATTGATACTGAAGAACAGGTCCTTCCAGGGCCCAGACTTCGTGCCTCCATTTCCATAACATTCAATTTTTAAAGCGACTGAAATGGCTTTTCTTTTCTCTCTCATTTAAGCAGTAAGAAAAATAGGTATTAAAAAGGACCCCATGGGGTGATCAAATCTATCCCTGTGCCTCAAAGCAAGACCACCCCAGAGCAAAGTTTCAAATCTCACCAAAGCAACTTTGTAGGCAATTTATGGTAATGCGTTAACTCTTCTGGCTCCTAAAGTGGTGTTTAGCAGATTATTGCTTCAAAGCCCTGTGTGTGTGTCTTAGTGGCCTCCCGTCCTTAATATACCTCTGTGAATGTCCTTGCTTACACCCCAGTGCTGGAAAGGGAGCCCTGGAGGTATAGCCTAGCCTCTCAGGATTCTGTCCCAGGCTTAAGGGAAGCAGTGAGGCCAGCCAAGAGGTCATGTTTGTTTCACCTGAGATGTCTTCTCAGGCCTATCCAGACATGGCATGGCTAATGTCATGGTAGAACAATCCACCTGCTTTCTCTAGATCAGCAAGAGTAGAATTACTTGGCTAACTTGCTAGAGTTAGAAAGATTCAGAAGGTACATTTTAAAGGGAGTTACATGTTTACTTTCAAGAATTTAGTCTTCAAGGGTAAACCTGTATCCCTCCTTTCATGGCACTCATTTTGGGGATGAGACCTAAACTTGAAAGACTTGCAGTTTGACTTAATGATTTGGATGATTAGATGCCAGCAATAGCTTGCTTATTCTAAATTCCTTTGTGTTCTATTACTCATTGTTTGTGTGAGAGTTGTGGAAGATTCTTAGCTTCTAGAGGACAGAACCTGGGTCTGTAAAGGAGAGGTCTTTCAGAAAGCACTGCTGGGAGAAGCAGGATCCTGCTTCAAGCCTGGTGTTTCATTTACAGTTTTATCAAGTTCTTAGTAAAAAGTCAACTTACGGAGTTCCTTTGTAAATGTCCATATAACTGGTTCATACAACTGCATAATAAAAATTAAATTTAGAGTTTACAAAATGAATATTAATATCAATAAATCTGGAAGTCAAGATGTGATTTTTTTCTCCCCCAAATTTTGTGACATTTTCCTGATGATTTCTTCTTATCATAATTACCAAAGGTTGGCATTACTTTTTCACTCAGAATTACGCATTTTGGATATATAAAGTCACCGATTATATATTTTGTGTAGCTTATCATAAAATTCTCTTAAATGTTGTGAAACATTTTCTTATTGTCTGGTTCCATGAGTCAAAAGGAAATAGTTATAGACAAGGGTGCCAGGAAAAGATAAAATAATTATACAGAACAGCTTGGACATGCACGTGTAAAATGCAACCAGCCTTTATGATAATTAAGCACGGCACTCTACCTGTTTCATGGATGGATAGAAGATTTAAATACGCAGTTCTGCAAATGGCTTTGTTATGGAAGATTTTTAAAATGAAACCTAAGAGGAAGAGGCATAAAAAAGAATCTAAAATTAAAAAGGCCATAGTATATAATAGCTATTAGTGATGCAATTGTCTATTAGGCACCGGGCACCCAGTGAAGATACGGCACTGTGCATTATGATCTTAATTGTGAATTTCCTTTGTTAGGGTTGGAATGGAAGGTAATTGGGAGACAATTAGTTTAGGGTTTTCAAGTCTTTGCAACTATTCTGTTTTCCAGAAAACTTACTTTATGGCATTATAATTCCTGGTTGTCAGCTAGCAGTTGCTGTCACATTACAGATGCAATCATCTGTGACAATGTGACTTCCTTAACTTAAGCAATCTGATCTCAGGGCAATAACTAATGTTGAATGACTGCACTGTTGATCACCTTGATCATAAAAGGAGCAACAATGTCCAGTTTGGACGCTGAGCCTGAGAAGCATCAAAACAATTTGGCCAATGAAAAATGACAGCAATGTTCAAAATGTTTTGTAGGTGAAAACAGCTACTATTGCCACTGAGAGGAATGGGAAGCCGGAGAACAATACCATGAACATTAATGCCTCCATTTATGATGAGATTCAGCAGGAAATGAAGCGCGCTAAAGTGTCCCAGGCACTGTTTGCAAAGGTTGCAGCAACCAAAAGCCAGGTAAGATTCTCTTTTGGGCATGAGATGTTTATCAGTGATGCCTCTGGCATTTCATTAAAAGCTGTGTCTGCTTTCACTGTGAACTTTGCGTCACGGAGGGGTCACAGTCTCTAGGATTATATGCACAGGGATAAAATGATGTGTAGATCAGGTTAGAAGCAGAGGTTTGGTTTCCCTCCAACAGTCATTTCTTTTCTGTTCATCCATAAATCTGTTAATATAAAATTTCAAAGAAGACTGTCACAACATATAGAAAGTTTCTCAACCTGATGTTTTATAATAGTATAATTCATTTCCTATTGTTTCATTATTACGTAGATGACCATGATTTTTTTATTCTAAAATACTACAAACACTACATACGTATTAGATGCAATTACTAAACTCCTCATGCACATATATCTTTGCATATTAATCATTTTAGTCTTTCTATAGATGTGTACAAGACACACAAATTAACAATTTAAAAATGTGTCCAATTCTGATGAATTATAGCTGAAGGGTTTGAATTGGAAAAATTGCAAATCTCTGTAAATCCAAATGAAAAACAAATGGTAGATGATGCAGCCTTTCATCACATATTGATAGCTTTTGTTCATCAAAATAGAATCATCTGTAGGAATAAACTTAAAATTATATATACATTTCTCAAAGTCAAGAATACTTGTTAAGGGACCAGAAGAATATGAAACTTCCCCTCGCAAAAGGAATTGGCAACATTTATCAAGGTGATACTTTGCAGTCCAGGGATCCAGGTGAGATTTGAACACTTGAAATGTGATGCAAATATATTTTTCTTGTCAGTAATGAGCCCTCTTATATAACATCCTGGGTGTTACCAATTTGTGATAAAATATATGATCTTGGGAATATGTACAGCAGAATGTACTTATAACACTTTTTTTTTAGCTTTTCCTAAAATTTTACTCTATCAGCATTAATAGTGGTACTTAATGAGACTTTGGTTTTAGAAAAATATTGTTCTTGTTTAAGTTATAGACTGGCGAAATACTTAAGGGATATCTTGGAAATGTTATATAAAAATGATTAAACTCAAGCTGTGGACTGTAAAAATTATAGCTTTATAGGCCACATGCCTGCCTACCCTTCAATCACTGTCAAAGTGATAATTTCTACAATAATATGTTTCTTTTATTGTGAGATTCTAAACATCAAGTGCTGTTTAAACATTAAACTGAATTGTTTATGTTAGTGCTGTACTCAGCGTGTCATACATCAGGCCACCGTAATCTCTCATGGAATGTAAAATTCTGTCATGAATCATGGCTTGTATATCGGAAATTACTGTAATTTTGATTGGAAATTACAGGGCTCTTGAAATGTTTCTAATTATGATAGAATGTTAGAGCCGCTTCAAACCTGTGTGTGTCTTCAGATGTCTTCATTTACACACCAAGACTATGCATTAAGGAGAAATGTCCTGTGCTCACTTTACCCACCCACCCTGAACATGCTTGTTTTGACTATTTAGTCTAATTATAATGAGGATCTCTTATTTAAATATACATTATCTTGCATTTCTTTCTGATCCCCACAACTTTTTTTATTTGTGACCTCTCCAATTATCAAGAATAACAGAGTACATTCCTACAAGGACCAGGCTCTTTTCCCAGATCCCCAAAGTAGATAAACTAGCTATGAATTATATAATCTGGTCAGCTGTTAAACAACACAAACAAAATGAATATTAATGCTTTTCAATAAGTATTCTTTAATTGCCTTTTATCTATCATTTACTTCAATTTAGTGGCCCACCCCAGCCATCACCATTTCTCTTGGCCAAGATACCAATTTTGGAACTCTTCTAGAAGTAACAACAATTGGCTACTACCAGCAATGTATGCGGTGCCCTGTCTGGCTTTTCAAACATCCTTTACTTTGTAGCCTTCTCAGGTCTTCACTAACCCGATGTTTCAGCAAGCACATCTGCTATGTTGATTTGTTGCCTAAGACCCTCCCAACTTTTAGCTAATCTCTCATGATTGTTAGAGTGAGAATCCTAGGGAACACTGTAGGCTATGGAATCTAGTCAGTTGACCATTTTCATCCCTCTGAATAGTTATTGCTAATTTCTAGTGAGTATTTTAACTTCCTAGCAGAGCATTTTTGCAGTTCTCTTTGGTTCTTCAGTTAAGTGCTAGTACTACTCTTTTTATGAAACTATGTGCAAAGATTACAGATGGCTTAAGACATAAGTCCCCAAACTAGATTCAGCCCTAACAAAAGAAATCTGACTAACAGTGAAAGGTGGTTGTTTGCTTTGGTTCTGTTCTTCTGCCCTGACGTTTTATAAAGGAGCTTGAAAAATGAACAAAATAACCTTCAGAACCAACAGACCTTAATGATTCATAATCAACATAGGTAACTTCTAAGATAGTTACTTATACCTCCAGTAGTGTGCCAGGGCTAGTCAGAATGAAGCAGCACTCCTTGTCTCTCAGGTCAAGTGTGTAAAAAGCGAGAGGAACCAAAAGTACTTCCACCTCAGCCCATCTTCCTTCATCTGCTTTGTGTCTTACCCTGGTTTGTCCAAGTTGGCTGAACATCATCACCTGTTTTGCCCTAGACCTTAGGATGCATTATTTATTTACCTAAATTCACTTTAGTAACCCTGTACTAACTTCCTCCATTGACCTATGATGGTCCTCCAACTAATAAATAGTAGAGCCAACTCCAAATTGAAGCTCTCCTACGATTTTAGTGTCTCCTGAGGGATCAAAGGAGCAGGAGCACTGTAGTTACCATTACCTCAGCAAAGAGGAGTTAAGATGGTTGGATTAGTTCATAGTGGAAATAGTGAGGATTTTCCTTTTCTTCATTGATGTACTTGTGAACCAGAGGCTCCTACCATCACAAGGCCTTCGGAACCCAGGAGGTGGGTATGAATGGTGGAAGGGCCAAAAGAGGTCCAGGCAATGATCCAGGGTCAGGCTGTTGCTGGCAACATCATATTGGGAAATCACATAGACTTAGTAAGCCCAAGCTTCTTTTAGCATAGGAGGCAGTCACATTCTCTGATGTATGCAGAAGAGCTTTTAGGTTGTACAGCACTATATACAAATGGAAAACATTTTATAATGTGCTAAGTAAGAGGTTTAGTCCTCCATATGGGGAAGAGTGATTTATTTATCATGTATTTATGTATTTCAAATAGCTTCCATCTTAAAAGGTAAAATGGGTTCTGGAGTGACTAATGCACCAAGTATTCTCAGGATTAGAAACAAACTCATACCCACCCTACCATTTCACATGTATTATATTATCTCTTCTCTTCAATGAATAATAGAAATGAGATTGTTTTTAACGTCTGAGTAAAATATGCAAGTAAAAAAACTGAAGGTAGGCTACCTTTTTGTGCTTGGGTAGGAAAGCAGGCTGATGCAAACTTTAAAAAGATGATATGCTTTAAACATAATGTGAATAGCTACAGATGAATATACTTTATATTCTGGGTGTTCAAATAAGCAGCAAGCTTTTTTTTCCCCCGAATCGAATCACATTGGAATTTTATCAAACATTTAGTCAGATAAGATTCAAATAATGATGAGAGTAGAGTCTGCTAATTTTACTGTTTAAAAAAAAATAGTTGATTTGGGTAATAACCATTACGGTATCAAGGTTCAGTTACTGTTCATTGGTTATAGTGTTTTCATATGGGAGATGGAATGGAATTTTTTCCTTAATAGTGGCAGATGTTGGAATCTAATTTTATTCCATAGCAAACCCCTGGAGAGCTCTGAGACTTAAGGTGTGTGTCCAGCAAGGGGACATTAGCAGTGCCGTAGGCCTTGCCTTGTACATGGAAGTGTTACATTGATTTCCACGTTTGCGGAGGTGGAGCCAGCAGACACAGGAGCACATACAGCCAAGCTGAAGGCTTTTACAGCATCCCCACTTGGTGTTTAGAAATGATTACCCTCTTTCTCCTTACTGTTGAACAGGGTCTTTTAAGCAAAGCAATTAGATGCCGAAGACTTTATTTGACTGTAAGACAATTAAGATCCTTTGTAGGCTGTGCAGGTTATAGGAATCTGGCCACTGCAGCCTGGCTGGATTGATAGATTGGTGCCTGCACATGTGTGTGCATATGCGTGTGTGCATGTGCGTGTATGCATGTGCATACCAGTATTGGGGCTTGAACATAAGGCCTGGTCATGTCCCTTCCCCCCCCCCCCACCCATAGCTTTTTTTTACTCAAGAATAGCACTCTATTGGCTTTTTGTGGTTAATTGAAGATAAGAGTATCATAGACTTTCTTGCCAAGGCTCTTCTCAAACCAAGATCTTCAGATCTCAGCCTCCTGAGTAGCTTGGATTATAGGTGTCACCCACTGGTGCCCAGCTTGATAAGTATGGATTTTAATACTTAGCTCTTAGCCTACCTACATTTTTTTCAGATCTGCAAAAATAGAACAATTGGCAGAAGAGGCCACATTTTTTTCTTCTCTGCTCAATCTACTTTTTAGATAATTTTTCACTTGAGATTTGGAGCCTCTAGGATGAGCAAGAAAAGAAAAAAGGCAAAAAACCAAGAGTACTTCAGAATCCTGAAGTTTATAGGTGAAACACAAAAGAATCCTTCCTACTCTTAGTTTAGAAACCCTTAAATGGTGATTGAAATGTCCATTTTAATAAGTCATATATCACAAACCATTGGGTCCAAAAATACAGCTAAAAATATAGTTATCCTTGCTGACATCTGGAATCACTAGTGACAAAAATCCAGGGATAAAATCAGGAGCCAACGCACTGTATTCATTGTTCTACCATGCTGTACCTCATGGAAGTCCTGGTTTGAAGCTGTGTGCTGATTCATTCTTCTGCAGTGTTCAAGTAACAGATGTTGCTGCAACACGATTTCACCTGTATAGCTTCTTATTTAAGGCAGGCAGGAGGCTCAGCAGACTCAAAAGTCAGTTTCTGTTATTTCTGGTGCCACTTCCTTTTGTAGCAGTCTGCATGAATTTATATTGTGTCCTC